CAAGTGGGTGCATCTTTATCAAAGCCTTGCCTATTTCTTGACTTGCTCTCAAGCTGTGGGGCCACAATTTAGATGTTTGTATATTCAGAGGCTGTATTGGGAGGTTGGGTGCTGCCAAGTACCCCGTGGAGGGAATAACAGTCTTAGCAATTAGTAACCCTCTCCCTTCCCCCCCCCAAAAAAACACCATTGAAAAAACCTGCCAGAGCTTGATGTCCCGGACAAGGCAATGGGGGAGGATTTTCGTTCCCAGTGTTTGCCCCTGTATGAGACTCTTAAGTGACAGGAAATTTGAGAGACAGACTTTCCACTACAGAATGGGCAAGAGCTGCTGGATCTCTGACAAGTATTGGCAGAGTTTTGAAGGGCTGAGTATTGTTATCAAACAGTTCCAAGTGAGGGGATGTTGCAGCAAGCAATCATGTTTTATAATTAACAGACGGAAGGACAGAATGGGGAAACAAGAAAAAATATTAGTTTTGGGTTGGGTCTAAGCAATACATGTAAAAGGACATTAAACTTTTAATTTTAGAATAAATTCAAGTGTAAAATGAATATAACCTTTGTGTTGGCTTGGATAAATTGTTTGGCATATGGACCAGTGGTATTAGTCTATTGTGCATACTGTCTGTTTGGTTTCCATGGTTCTTGTGTATTGAGTGTGTATGTGCACACTATACCAGATATCACACAAAGATTTACACAGTACAGTACTAGGGGAAAGTGTTACAATTCAAATTAATAACACATTGAGAGCTAGAGTCCAGTGTCAGGTCCCAGTTCTATACAGCACTGAGACATATGTCTAACTCCAAATATGTACTAAACTTTTTATTCAGCAAAGCGCTTAAATGCTTTGCAGAACTGGGTACTCAGTTGCACTTCTGTAATGCCAATGTAAGTTGAGGACCTTAGACCTTAGTTTATTGGAGTTATTTGCATTTGCACTGGTGTAACTGAGAACAGAGTCTAGTTCCTGGTCTATGAAGTATAAGTAGTACAGTCTATGCAATCTATAATTTCATGGATAATACCTGCAACGTCAGTTGGTTGGGGTTTTTTTTTTTTTTTCGTTTTGTTTTGGAGCTTTTTTGTGCTCCCAGAAGAACATTGCTCACTTTGGTCACATCTCCTGTTCTGTGTGTATTGAATTAAAGCAGCCCATTCACTGAACACAAATGCATTTAGGAAAAATGCAACATATGGCAGGAACACTAAATTAGATCCTATTGATTGAGAAGGCAAACAATGGAAGGTAGAAGATGGCTACTTCTCTCTTCTTGTTGCTTTGGCATAATTCAATTTGCCTTTTGCCCTGACCCCACTGCCCTCTAACCTGAAAATCTGTGATAGTAGCTGATTTATTCTGAACTCCACAAATATTATTTCACTTTACATTGATTACTTAGTAGAATAATCATTTCTGCTGTTGCTGAAGTTTGTAAATCCTTGTGTTAAGCTTCAGTAATACTTAAAACTCAGTAAGAGAACAATATCACATATTATTAATTATATTTATTGTTCAAACCCTGCAGAGTAAAAGCAAATCCTGCCCTAGCAGGAGCAGCAAGGCAGAGCCAAGACAGTTCTGGATGGTGTTTTTACCAGGAGGAATATACTGGGTTTAGACAGATTTGTTCAGAATTAGACAGGGGACCGTGTGGTAGAGTACATATTGCTGAAAAGATGCAACATGTTTCCTCGACCAGTGTTTGCAGGCACCATCTGGCTGAGACAAGAGTATGTGAATACACCCCTTCTATTGACCACATCTTTTGTGAACATATTGCAAAGGAGGAGTGCATTACTCCCTTGCCACTTACTCAGAAGCAAAAGGGTCTCCCCATCACTTTCTCCCAAATGGTAAGATTTTGCACAAACCAAGGTTATTCCTGGCCTAGGTAGGATCTCATGCATGCATGCATGCATGCATGCATGAGATCCTACCTAGGCCAGGAATAACCTTGGTTTGTGCAAAATCTTACCATTTGGGAGAAAGTGATGGGGAGACCCTTTTGCTTCTGAGTAAGTGGCAAGGGAGTAATGCACTCCTCCTTTGCAATATGTTCACAAAAGATGTGGTCAATAGAAGGGGTGTATTCACATACTCTTGTCTCAGCCAGATGGTGCCTGCAAACACTGGTCGAGGAAACATGTTGCATCTTTTCAGCAATATGTACTCTACCACACGGTCCCCTGTCTAATTCTGAACAAATCTGTCTAAACCCAGTATATTCCTCCTGGTAAAAACACCATCCAGAACTGTCTTGGCTCTGCCTTGCTGCTCCTGCTAGGGCAGGATTTGCTTTTACTCTGCAGGGTTTGAACAATAAATATAATTAATAATATGTGATATTGTTCTCTTCCCTTGCATCCAAGGATCTCAAAGTCCTGTCCAAACTTTAATATCTTAATTGCCACAGAAGGTTAAGAGAGGAGGGGATGTGTTTATATGAACTAAAGAAGGTAATGGGGTGCATTATGCAAAACGAGGACCTGGCCATTAAAAGTCAGGCTGCCAGTGCAATAGGGCTGGCAGATTCCCTGCCAGGTCTGCGCAGCTCCGGAGAAGAGAACACCCCCACCTGACTGCGTGTTGGCTCCTCAACTCCCATTAACTAGGAACCACATCCAATGGGAGTTGTGAGGGCAGTGCCTGCAGGTAGGGGCAGTGCATGGAGCCTCCAGCCACCTCTCCACCTAGGACCAACCAAGAAGTAGAATTAAAAAAAAAGGATGAAATAAAATAGACTTTCAAAAATTCAGAAGAAAACCATTATTTAAAACAGAAAAAGATCCAGGGGGAAGGAAGTTTAGTAAAGAGAAAAAGGAACAAAATCAGTACGATCTAGATTCATCCCAGCATAATTCATGGACCTCAGTGGTCTTACACAAGTGATGGGTTTGGCCCACTGAGTTCAGATTATTTTTTAAAGAAAATTGAATGTCAATTTTTCTTAAACGGTAAGATCTGTTCTGAGAACTGTTAAAAATGCAGGAAGGATTACTTTCCTAAAGAATTGCAAAAAGTTTTAGATAAGTGACTCCAAGCAAAGTCAGATCCCCTGCAGGGCTTTGACAATATGCCCTCTTTTTACAGACACATACTCAGTCTATATTTAGACTATTTCCATGGATTTTAGAATAGCTGATCTTTATTTGAAATTGAGAGAATACTGCATTTTCCAGATTAGAGTTAAATCATTTCTGGGACCAGCCAAAGTGGATCAGACCACTGGCCCATCAGTTTAGTAGCCTGTCTCCTAAGAGTGGCCAAAGCTGTGTGCTTCAGAGAAAGAAATCCTGAAGTAGGCAATTACAGGGTAACCTGTCTCCAGGGATAGCTTTCTGTACTAACTCTAGCTATTAGTTTGGCTTATACCCCAAACTTGAGGATTTATGTTCCTTCCAAGGCTCCTGACCATATTATTAATGTTTTCTACTATAACCCTAGATATCCATAGAAATGTCCTATTTTTTTAAATCCAGCTGAGCTTCTGACTTCACTATCATGTGGGAATGAGTTCCACAGGCTAATTTATGAATTGTGAGCAAAAATATTTAATGTAAGTTGTTTGAATTTGCTATGTTTCAGTGACTGTTCTTTGATGGGAATATTCCTCAAGCTCCCCTCTACAATCATGGAATTTCTGGGTTACAGTTTCTACCTAAAACTAGATCTCCCATTCAGAGAACTTGAGGTGGATAAATGACTATGTTTTGAAATGTGGTTCTGATGTGAGAAATGTTGGGTAAAAATAGCATTATGGGGTTAGTTCTGTGTTTGACATCTTTCAGTAATTCTGTATCAAATGGGCCTGGTTTACAACAAGAAATTTTCTAACTACAAACCCAGTTATCTAGTTATCTTGAAATAACGGTGCAGTGTAGATGCACCCAGAGTGTTGAACAACACAAGGCATTCGGCTATTATAACTAGAGTAAAATGCCTCATTTCAGGCCAGTCCACAGAGCTACTTCTAAGCAAGAGGTTATTCCATGCTCTGCCTTTCTGTCAGACAAATGGTGGATGTTGTCTGTCTGAGAGAGGTTAAAGGTAAAAATAGAGTGTTTTCATACACTCTGTAATTTTTTGTGTCCATGTAAGTGTGGTGGAGTTAAAGTTGTATTTCAGCTATCTTTTTTGGATGGATGTTCACTGTCAGTGACAGTTGCTTTATAGTCCATGGCAAATACAAAGCTGACCTTCAAATGCTCGTTTTTCAACAGCAGCTAAAGGAGTAGCAGCATTTGGCCTGCAGTTGGATGGTCAGTTAATATTGGCCCATGAGATAGGAATGAGTTCTTGTCTTTTGAAAGAGGCGGAAACCCATATCTTCTTGTGCTTCTAAGGGACTGAAAAAAATCAATGATTTATTGGTGAAATTCCTTGAAGGGATGAAGCCACTGAAACTGCACATCATAGTGTATATAGCAAAAATTCATGCAAAGTCATACAAGACCCCCTAACCTTGGAAATGGTGCAACAGGCTCTTCCCTTGGATCAGTCTCACTAAACTGGCTAGAACTGAAGGAGGAAAGTCCTGCATAAACCCAACCCCTTTGGTGACTCTATCACCAGGGATGATGCTAGACTAGTGCAGGCATTGCAGTGCCCATTCCAGTCATACCTGGGCTTTGCTAAGGTGCATACTCTCTTCCATTCCTGTGCACCTGTAAAGGGCTAGCTACAATTTGATATATATAGGAATGATGGGGAGGGAGGATTTTTGTTCCCTGCCTGGAAAGCTTTTGATCCTTTGGAGCACTGAGGAATGAAATAGTATGGTTGGATTCTTTTTGACTTTCTCCCTATAAATCATTTACTGGTCAAGTTAATGCTATTTGTGTCTCAACTATTCTAATCTGTCCTATAATCTATACATTACAGAAAAATACTTTCTATTATTTGATTTGAGCAAAGTGGTAGAGTGGTTAGGTAGCTGCATTCAGGACTCAATCTCTTCTGATTTGGTATTTTTATTTCCTCTGTTTTGCAGGGTCTTTTCGAAATGATGGCTTAAAAGCTGCTGATGTCCTTCCAATACTAAAGGAGAAAGTGGCCTTTGTGTCAGGTGGGTTCATCCTTCATTTGTTTTCTCTTCAGGCAATGCAGAGCATCATGCCACTGAAAAGATGCGGAGCTCAGTATTAATAATGACTGCAACTTTATACATCTTCAGAGCACTACACAGACATTTAAGGGCCGGATTCTGATACCCGTAGTAGGACTGAGTAATGATTTGATCCATGTGTAGTACCACTGATTTCAATAAGACTACTTGTGGAACAAGATCCTACTCAATATGTGTAAAGGGTATTGGAATCTGGCCCTCTCTGACTATTCCTCACATTCTGAGAGTTAGATAAGTAAGCAGTATAAATGGATTCCTGGCCTGAAGTCAGGATTGCCATTAAGATATGAACACAAAAGTTCCCAGATTTCAGGGACCTTTGAATTAGTGTTTCTCTAAAGATAATCTGGGCAAAGTTCCAGATTAAGTCTACATTGTCACAATGTTCTGGGAGGTTCAGATCTGGCATTCTGCTGTAGGTCTCTTGTTTTAAAACAGCATTATATCCATTTTGCAGAAAGCACCATAGTATATCCCATGCCGTATATTCAGTTTCTAACTCTAGTCTGAAGCTTTTAGCAAACCCAGTGAAGCATGATGATATATTAATATAGCAGCTTTCATCCTTGAGGGTCCCAGAGTACTCTACACGCTGAAAGTATGTCTACACTACAGAGTTTTGTCGAAAAAATGGATGTTTCTCCAACAAAACTTGAGGAACGTCCACACTGCAACTGCATACTTTTGCAAGTAAATCAAAAGAACAGAGAGGTTTTTGCGGTATTGATAATACCCATTCTACAAGGAAGAAGCCTTTTTGAGAAAAAGCTCTTTCACAAATGGCATGTGTGGACGGGGAAGGGGGAGTTTTTTCAGAAGAAGAGGGAAGAGGAAAAAGCACAAGTGCCCTGGTGGCCATTCTGTCCATAGCAATCACTGCTTACATGTGAGAAAGTGTCCAGGTAGTCTGGACGCTATCTTTCGAAAAAAGCACATTGCTTTTTCAATGCACTTTTGCAGTGTGGATGCTCTCTTTCACAAGAAGTTTTTTTGGAAGATCTCTTCCGAAGAAAGCTTCTTGCGCAAGAAGCCTGCAGTCTAGACATAGCCTGTTTTTCTAAACTACATTCTGTGGAACAGCTGCAGCACACCAGTTGCGGCTAGAGGAGATTGGGCTAGGGTGCTTTCAGGGTGGATTGGGTTGAGGTTCTGTCAGAATATGTTAGGACTTGTTGGAGTAAGAAGGATGAGTGGAAATGTAGAATGATCATTATCTTACTCTAAGATTATCATATTTCCAAAATAACAGAGGGACATTTTAGGGGCAACAGTTTTACAGTTGTGAAGTAGTCTAGTGCTTTTCATTCTGTCTGCTTTTTTTTTTTTTACATTCTCTTCCTGGATGAGAAAAGCTCCACGTGCAACAACTGAATAGCTCTGTCTTTTCCCTTTGTACCCTTCTACTTCTTGCTTCCACCCTCTCTGTGGTTCAGTTGACAGAGGAATTGTCAGTTACATCTCTTTCAGCAGCCTTGGGTATCAATTGACTTATTAGAATCATAGTGCAGTGGTGTTGCTAGACAAGTCATGAGAAGCTTTGACCTTGAATAATAGTTAGTGTGAAACATACTCACTGTGTGATGACTGACATAGGTGTAAAAGTATTTGCTACTGTGACTTGAATGAATATTTTGTCATTATGAGAACCTCAGTCAAACTGTGACATGTCATGTGTCTTGACAGAAGTTCTTAAGACACTAAATGAAAAACCAAGATGATCGTAGTAGAACTGGGACACACAGGCCCTTTATCTTCCACTGCTATCTCATTCTGAAAATCTCAAGGGGTATGTCTACACTACCCCCCTAGTTCGAACTAGGGGGGGTAATGTAGTCATACAGAGTTGCAAATGAAGCCCGGGAAATTCAAATCCCGGGCTTCATTTGCAACTCTGTATGACTACATTGCCCCCCCTAGTTCGAACTAGGGGGGGTAATGTAGTCATACAGAGTTGCAAATGAAGCCCGGGAAATTCAAATCCCGGGCTTCATTTGCAACTCTGTATGACTACATTGCCCCCCCTAGTTCGAACTAGGGGGGGTAATGTAGTCATACAGAGTTGCAAATGAAGCCCGGGAAATTCAAATCCCGGGCTTCATTTGCAACTCTGTATGACTACATTGCCCCCCCTAGTTCGAACTAGGCGGGTAGTGTAGACATACCCAAAGTGTTTTATTTACAGGTTGAACCTTTAGTCCGGACAGGAGTGTGGGCTCAGAAACCTAGGGATATAGTGTGCTGCAGAACCTGAGTTCCAGACTGAGCTGTAACATCTACACTGTTGCTTTTAGTGCCGTAGCATGAGATTCAGTCTGTAGATCTAGGTTTTGATACTCACTGCTACAAGATTTTAAAATGCAATGTAGACATGTACTCTGTCTTTTTTCAAGACTATACATATCCAGGTTTTAAAATTTCTTCATAGCTTATGTTTTCTAAACCTTATATCATTTTTGTTGCTCTCTTTTGGACTTTCTCCACTTTGCCAAATCACATAAAAAGTGGTGCCCAAAACTGTACACAATACTTCAGCTAGGGCTTTTCCAGTGCCAACTAGAGTAGAACAATTGTATTCATGTCTTACGTACAATATTGCTGTTAATACACCTCAGAATGATATTCACCATTATGAATTTCATCTTGTTGGTTTCAGATGTCTGAAGGATTACTCCATCACAATATCATTCATTCTTATTTAATGCCATTCCTAAGACATTTTTGCAGAATGCTTCACAGCAAATACCAATCTCTACAAGCAAATAATGTCCAAATAAATTTCAACATCTAGATTTTAACATTTCATACAGGATCTGTTTATGTTTTAAGGTGGGGGTTTTAGGCTTGACAAGGTTCTGTGAGAATAGCTGAGCATGGGCAAACCAATAGACATAGGAAGAAAGGTTGAATAGTTTTGAGAACACATATTTATAGCATGCATTATACAGAGTTCAAATTGAGCCTTTAGCAAAGTTTGTTTTTGTTTTGACTACTTGCACTCCACAAAGGACACTGACAGGAAGCAACTGGACAGTGAAACAGATCTGTCATCCCTCAGTAACTCATGAAACTTTGCAACCCCAAAAGCATAGAGTCATCTTAAGTCTTACACAGTAATTGAAGAAACAATGACTTCTAAGCCTGTGAGGCTGAAGACAGAGATCTTTATTGGAGGGTTTTTGAGGGGAAGTCATTCAATGTAAAAAGATAAGATGAAAAGCTACCCTTGCAATTAAATGTTACTAAATTTAGCCCTGACAGGATGGATCAAAGTTGTTGTCTTCAGTTGTTTAGTTTTTAAAAGCATGTTGGATCTGGGAAAATCAAGCTCAAAGGTAAAGCAGTATTATAGTGGAAGACATTGGTTTCCCTAAAAACTCCTTTGATAATGACACATTAATGCCTGGTCCCATCTCAGGGTATGTGGGCCCCATATCTGCAATGGTGGTTGCCTTTAGATGTATCCTATATAATATATTTATTGCATAGCTAATTCCCAAAGCTCAATTGGAGCCGACTGAGATACCCTTTTCAAAAATATTCTGGAGTATGTTGGATTGTGAACAGCTGGCTGAACTAAATTTTTAAGTAAAAAATATCTTTTAGAACAATACAAAATATTTGTATCAAAGATTTTTTTCATCAGAATTAATGTTTTGATTCAGATAAAATGTTTTTTCTCTTTTCCTTCTCAGGGTATGTCTACACTACTAGCGGGGTAGTGTAGACATACCCTGAGAAGGAAAAGAGAAAAAACATTTTATCTGAATCAAAACATTAATTCTGATGAAAAAAATCTTTGATACAAATATTTTGTATTGTTCTAAAAGATATTTTTTACTTAAAAATTTAGTTCAGCCAGCTGTTCACAATCCAACATACTCCAGAATATTTTTGAAAAGGGTATGTCTACACTACCCCGCTAGTTCGAACTAGCGGGGGAATGTAGGCATACTGCACTTGCAAAAGAAGCCCGGGATTTGAATTTCCCGGGCTTCATTTGCAAGTGCGGTATGCCTACATTCCCCCGCTAGTTCGAACTAGCGGGGGAATGTAGGCATACTGCACTTGCAAAAGAAGCCCGGGATTTGAATTTCCCGGGCTTCATTTGCAAGTGCGGTATGCCTACATTCCCCCGCTAGTTCGAACTAGCGGGGGAATGTAGGCATACTGCACTTGCAAAAGAAGCCCGGGATTTGAATTTCCCGGGCTTCATTTGCAAGTGCGGTATGCCTACATTCCCCCGCTCGTTCGAACTAGCGGGGCAGTGTAGACATACCCTCACTGGCAGATACTAACAAATCTCTGCTAAAATGCTGCAAAGCTGAACTTTTTTCTTTCAGTTTGATGTTTTTCATTTTTTAAAAAACTGAATAATTTCAAAGGCACCTTTTTCATTTCTTTCACATTTTGAGCAATCCTAAGTGTGATTCTAAGCCAATCATAATGATATAAAGGGAAACCAATTTGTTAGAATTAAAATAACATTGTTTGGGATGTTATTTTGATCCTTTAGAATTTGTTGTTGT